CCGTTTTTATTCATTATTTTTTAACAAGGTTCATATTTGTGTACCTATGAGCGACTCTTTTCTACTCATTATGCTCACCGCTCATGAGTAGGCAATAAACTCTTCATACGATTGCTCACGCTCACAAGCGAGCCCAATTGCAGAGCTCACGCTCATGACCAAGAGCCGCTATTAAATTATAAATTGGCTCACGCTCGTGACCAAGAGTACAAGCGGAAGATCATTAGACCTCATGCGCTGCTTACAAGGAGGTGCTGCATGCTAGAAAATGAAAAATATATGGCACTGTTGTTTTATTGTTTTTTTTAATCGTTTTATATTAATTGAATAGTTTTAAATCATATTATATTGTGTTTCGGAAAATTTAAAAATAAAAAAATAAATATTTCAAAGTTTTACATAAATGTAATAAAACAATTTGTTTAGAATGCGAAAAACAAATGTAATCAATTTTATATGTCTTAAAAGTAATAAAAAGCTGGCTTTTTAGTTGAGTTCTCGGCTATGAGCAAATTAAAGGTTCACGCTAAGCTGAGCTGCTGAGCCTGAGCCTGAGCTGCTCATGAGTGAGTAAATACGAACCCTGTTTCTATTCAATTATATCGTTGACTAAGCTTATTTAAAGAAATAAATTAAATGAATTAAATTATGACGAAAAAAACTAATTTATTATACAGAATTTATAAAAAAATATTTACACGAAACTGAACCCTAAAAACCGATATATAAAATTTTTGTTGGACCAAAAATCGTTATAGGTTTTTGTTTCTAAAGCAAAAATTGCTTACAACTAAATTTAAATTTCATCTATTGTTTCCAATATATTTATATTAATGGAAATTTTGAAGAGCTTATTAACTCTAAAATAAATAGAATTTCTTTTAACAATTTCTACTATTCAAAGGTAAAATCTTTGAAGAATTTATACACAGTTTTTTTACTATTCAAAGGTAAAATCTTTGAAGAATTCATACACAGCTTTCTACAATATCTTATTCCAAAACATCAGTATGAAAATCTTGAACAAAATGATGAGATCAAATTTTAAAAATAAATATATTTTTCATAATATTACATAATACTTTTATCATTTTAAATAGATTTTGAGTTATATTAGCTTAAAATTAAACCATGATGTTTACTTAACGTCATTATAATAATTTTTTAAAGTACTTTAAAAAATATACTTACCAAATGACTTTATAACCTTACCAAAGTGAAGAGTAATAATTAATAAAAGACGAAGTTTTCACATTTACATCATTTAAACATATCTAAGATAATTATTATTGATAAAAAATATTTAATTGAAATTAACATTTATTAATTTTTTCCTCATACAACCTTACTTTGACGAGATGGTACAATAAAGGGTAATATTTTTATCGGTCCTACTGGGATCACGTGGTGTCTTTACGGACCAATTTGACGTAAGTGGGCCAGCTGGCAAATTAAGAATTCATCAATTATGCTTACTTAAGTTGACCTATTTACTCCGACAGTTTCATACATTGGTATAGGTGTTTGTAACAATACATTATAAAATTAGTATTGCTCTAACTCAACGCATTAGTCGGATACATAGTCTTTTCATTGGGTTCTATTTGCAGTTTAAAATCTTGATTGCTGGCATGATTGACTCCATTTGTTTAAAACAGTACGAGCTTACTTCTTCTTTGTTTTTTTGTGGATTTCTCTATATGACAATTTTTGTTATATATAATATTAAACTTCAATATAATAAGTGATGACTACTGATTATTTTAATTTTTTTTATTAATACCGATAATTATCACAATTTTATTTAATTGATTAAAAATTATTTAAATATTTGAATCTAACTTATTACTAAAATAATATTTCTCATTATTTTTTAATACTGCAAATATATTTAATACTTCATAAAATCATGTAGTTCTTAACAGAAAAATCAGTTTCAAAAATTGTAAAAATTATAAATTTTAATAAACAAATCAAAATATTTTTATGCATGTAATATATTAATTTACTAGTTTAGTTATTAATTAATAATTATATTCATTAAATTTTAATTTATATTATTTAAGTTTTTATTAATATTTATTTAATTGTACTTACACAAACCTTGAAATTGTTTATATATGTGCATATAATGTCTTGCAAATTATTAAGTTTAAAATTAAGTAATTTTAAACTATTTGAAATTTATGAACAAAAAATATGTTAAAAGAATAATGTTTTTACAAAATACATATTAGCAACAAATTATAATAAATATATATGATATGATTTTGTAAATAAATAATTATGTTAAAAACAAATAGAAATAATCGGTGTTAACTTTATTAGTATTTGATGGAGGGGTTTTGAAAAATAGTGAACTACAACAACAAAAATTATTTTTATATTATTTTAATTAATTGATATTTTAAATATTTTGTTTGAATTTTTGAGAATATATATTCATATTTGATATAAAATTATTTAAAAAAATATTTTAAAAATTTATGAGTTATTGAAACAGTTGTTTCTTCCACAATAGAAAAATATAAAATTTCACTTTTCTTCCTATATATAATATCACAGCTTTGTATTTATACAGGAAATCTGCATCTTCGTTTTGTATTTATCTCATTAAAATAATAAATCACCCAAAAATACTGAGTGACCACAACATATGTGATTAACTATATTTCAATGTTACAATAGTTCGCTTGAAAGAACTTAAATAACTTTAGAAAACTTCGTTATTCAGATTAGAGGGTAAATGATAACCCATTAAACTGGTCTTCTAAAAGATCTATTTTGAATAACATAAAACTTTAATTTACAAGATTTATTAAGGTCGTCAAAAAATTTATTTAAACTATTGGTATAGATATTTATTATATATTCATGCATATATATGTATCACACATCTTGTATTAGTGATGTCTCTCACATTTTAATTTAGCATAACGAAACCAATTTTTAAATTTATTTCTCTTATTTACCTATAATGTAATAAACAATTTTTTTTCTAATTTTTGTAATAAGAGATAGGAATCCTATGATTATGATAACAATACCTATATTACCTCTACAGAATTAACAGAAAAATTGCAAATCTTTTATCAAGGAAACCATAAAAATTTTTTACACTTTTTGATGTCTTAGAAATAGAATAATAATGACAATGAAATCTTAGTTATTTTTTTCTTATACTATATTATACTATATTCTCTTTTTAATAACTACATATATTCGTTGAAGTATAAAAGTTTATTCAATAGACGTTCATTGTCAAAATCAATAGGTCGATCAGATTAATAAAGGATTTGTTCGTTTTTTACAAAAAAGAGCTATCACCTATAACTTAAGCGTAATTAATTAATTCAGTTAGTAATAATATTATACTTCATCTAACTTTAAAAATAAATTTATTTTTTAAATCTTATTATTTAGTGATATGTAGCTAAAACAAACTATTCAAAGTTAATTAAAAGCTATTTATGTATACTGAGTTCAATTCGCCAACTAACTCGGCTAGACAAAATAATTCACATTAGCATGTAACAACCATTAAGCTACATCATGTCTAAACACTAAGACTGAGTTAGCTATACCACGTTTTCTTGTTAACTGCTAATGAAACATAACTTTTTTTAATTTTATTTAAAATGACATATTATTTTACTTGCTGTTTATTATACACTACACATTATTTTAATTTCAAAAGAAATTTTGTATCAAGTAACTGCTTCAGTCATAGGCAATAATGCAGTTTAACTTAAAAGTAAACATACTGTTCTATTCGCAAGCTTATATTAGTTTGGTCAATATTATTTTTAATTTTTCAACTTACACCTAATTTGAGTTCAAAGCTGATCAAACCATATATCTCCAGACATCTAAGCCTCTCGCAATAATGGGTTGAAATTCAAAAATTAAGACTTAAGAGGGTTAATAAAAATTTTTAATTCTGATATATGCAAAATTTTTGACCTCAATAATTTTTAAATTATAATTTTTTATAAATAAATAATTTATACTTAATTTTTGGTGCAGTACAGGGACTGAACATTTTAAAATAAAACTCAAAAAATAATAATTAAATTTGCTTTATATTATATTCATCTAAAATAACTCTTACATTATGCTTTTGATTTTAAGACCTACAAATAACAGTTATTTTTGCCTTATAAATATAAAAATCAAGATCAACTCTTATTTTTAAAAACAAAATATAACTCATACTGACCTGACTTATATTTTTAAAAATGAAAATATAAAATGGATTTTTCATACAAGGCAGTTGTTTTTGTAATTTCATACAAAATTTGTTGCTACATGTAAAGAATCTTTATTTCTTAAAGAGTTAATTATTTTTGAGGAATATAATATAAACAAATTTAATTATTATTATTTGAAGTTTTATTTAAAAAACGAATGATTTTTATTTTTTAATGATTTAATTTCTTATATTCCACATTATTTTTATTATTTTATTATAAATATTAAGTATATTTTACAAAGCAACTGTAAACCTTCTGTTTCAATTATTTTAAGCTTTGTAACTCAAATATACGTAAGTATATTCCCAAAAGAGCAATAATCACTCTTGATATGTAAAGTGAAAACAATGATGTCAGCACCTACTAGATATGCTAAATTTATGTATTACTTGTAATAATTAAAGTGGCTAACATCAATGACATAAAAAATCCATTCGTGTATTGGCTAGGACTTTACGAAAGTATTTCGCTTTGAGCTTTATTTGTTTCGAAAAATGAGCGTTGACTGTGAGCTGCGAAATGCGAGCTGTGAGCGTCAGGTGTAATTAGCAATACAAAAATTTCCGTCATTTCAGTTGTAATACCCAGGGAGTGTCTAGCTGAAATTGACGAACATTGAGTGCTGATAAGAAATTTTTTATCTTCTATACATACAATATACTTGAAAAAATAAATTAAATTAAATTAAATTTCAAATAAATCTTTAATGAATTAAATTTTATTAACAAAACCAATTCAACTGAAGAAAGAAGTATATTTCTTTAAGTTAATAGTTCTAATAAAGTTTTGTGGATAAAAGAATATATTTAATAATAAAATGGATAAATCATTTCTTCTACGAATTTGCTTAACATTGGTAAGATAAAAAATATTGTAAATTAGTTCAAATAAAACATTTCATATCTTTACTGATTTTAATTATATTTATAGTTTTACTTGTTCGTCATACAAGCAGATCAACAAGATGTGACAATCACTTGTGACTTCGATTTGCCAAATTTGGAGGATATGGTTTTGTACTTACCCGAAAAATGTCAGGAAATTTATAACGAGCGCAATACTCAAGAAGAACTCTTTAATTTATATATTGAAGAATCGAAACAATTTGGACAGTTTTTTGAGCAACTTGACACATATGAGAAAAGAAATTCAACGAATGAAGAATTAACTGTTTATCCATTTGAGGCTAAGTTACGTCAAGATATATACACTACTGCAGATTTAACCAGTTGTTTGGCAAAAAATGAGACCGAAGAGATCTATTTACAGTGCTTAATAGAAAAACGTAAAGAACTATTGAACGTTGTGCCAACAGTTTAAATAAAAATTCTTAGTACCTAACACTTATAAATTGACAAAACAAAATTAAGTGAAGTGATTTATTGTGCTGTATTAATTACAATACAAAGTGAAATTTTAAATGATCAAAGAGAAATTTGCAAGAGTTTAAATTTATAAGATAAATTAAATAAATTTATATTAGTAATCAAAGTAGTACTTACTGAAATAAAAAACTTACTTCGAAACGAAATTTCTAAATACTAAAAGTCAATCTGCTGATATATTTCGACAGATATTTATCAATTAGTTGAAGAATAATTAGTGCAAAAGGATGACCGATTCGTATATACCATGTTGTGTACTGTAATCAGTCACAGTAGGTATGTAATCACTGATTAGATTTCAAAAGCGCACAACGTATTGTATTCAATCCGATTTTCATAAAGTTCAAGTAAAGACAAGTCAAGATATTTCATCTTAGTCAAATAATAGCTATATATAAGTTACATTTTATTTGTTGCCATCAAAGAGAGTATCGTTAGCATTGTCAAAACGTTCAATAAATGTTGCCTGTTAATTATTTGTAAATTTTTAACCCTCTAGTTATGTTATAATATACCTTCTGCTCAAAAAGTATCCGGATTTTGTTGTTTGTTATAATATAATAGATCTTTTTCAAAAAATTTTTTTTTGTTATGTTGGTGCACCCTTTCTTGACATATGGTACAAATTTGAGCGCCATCTGTGAATTAGTTTGTTTACAGCAGCTGTTAATACACCTCAAGTGCATTTAGTGATTTTTACTATGGAAAATTCTTGTTGTACGCGATTTTTTGACCAAACACGGCACCACTGTCATCGCTCAGGCATCATATTCGCCAGATCTGGCGCCGTGCGACTTTTTCCTGTTCCCAAAACTCAAATTGCTCCTTCGTGGTAAGCGTTTTGAGTCGATTGAATCGGTAAAACAGAATTCGCCGAGGGAACTAAAAGCCATACCTGCACGGGCCTACGAAAAGTGTATGGAAGATTGGGTTAAGCGTTGGCATATGTGTATCGCTTCAGAAGGAACATATTTTAAAGGAGATAAAATAAATTTGGAATAAAATTTAAATTTGTGTGTTTTATTTACAAAATCCGAGTACTTTTTGAGTAGAAGGTAACTTCCAAACAATCCATTTCGTTTGGTCAAAATTCACAAGTTGATTCATTTGTATTAAAAAATGTGTGCTGATATTTATAAAAATGGGTATATATATATCATCTCTTTCTAATGACTCATCTTTCTGTGTTTTACAATAAAATTATGATAGACAATGTTTAAATACGATACATATATTTAGCATTTAAAATACAATATTTCTATAATCCAGAATTATTTAATGTTTCTGTTAAAATTATTATAACTATTATTAGTATTGTACTTCAAAACATTAAAAGTTTTGAGACTCAGACACTGTAATTCAGAGCTGGAATAGCATATGATTGTTCAGAAGTGTTACAAGAATATTTTTTGTATCCCTGAATACTTTTGTAGTATTATTATTATTGATATGTAATATGACACTGCGAGCGTCGGGTCTATTGTGCCGCCTTTAGGGTTTAGAGTAAGCCTCTAAGCACTGTTGCTTCGATAAGAAATAGTCTAGAACCCACTTTACAGAGTTTTATTGGTTCTTCCGTAAGGATATACAGTCCGAGGAGTATATTCTGTATGTGCATTAGCACAGACCTTCTAACAGCACATGTGTGACTGAATCTTCATTCACTTCGCAGAATCTACAGTTTGTATCCATAGTCTGTATGCATAGTCTCGTAAGGTGGTGTTTTCGTTTACAGTGTCCTATTAAGATTCCTGTGATGATTCAAAGTTATTCTTTTGATAAGTTCATCCAATCCTGATATCCCCTATTGTTATAGGTACTAATAAGTGATTTGGATTATATTAATTCTAGTAGATTAACCCAGTAATCCTTTTTGTTCTGGTTCTCCTTCATTTTTACTATGTGTGGCTACTCTTTTCCTGACTAGTTTGTCTGTGTATTCTTAGAAAACTTATTTGAAACAAAATTTAGATAAGGTTGTATCTGTTTGGTCAGTATATCTACTGTGCTTATTAGTGATTTATATTGTATTATAATACAATATACCATTTTGTTTAACGGTTGTTTTTTTAATGGTTAACTATTGGAGTTATTAGACGTTAAAGGTATTTATTACAAATCTTAAAAATTGATTACATATTTTATAATTTATAACAAAATTTTAAATATAAGAATTACCATATTATGTTACGTTTATTATAAAAGTATTCATTATTTTTCATAGATTACACTTAAAAAATTAGTGAGTAACCATTATATGTATAACATTGGTCTAGATAAAAGCCATTTTTAACTGTTATATCTAAATACTTAATCAAATAGATAAAATTTATATTAACATACTAAACTTACATAAGTTTAAAAATGCTGACATCCATATAAAGACGTTCTTTTTATTAATACTCTCTTTTTGTGCAATTTCCAACCTTTTTATTTTTATAAAATGGAAGTCTATGTTTTTTATTCTGATGACGCTGATGTCGATCGCTCTAGAGCCGTTATTACTGTATATGCTGATGTGCTAATAAGTTTCCGTTACCCATTTTCCTCTAAATCTTGCAGCAGAAAATATGGGGTTTTATGAACGAGCAGAACTCTACTGACCGTACGCTCTGCAATTGTTTACTGTGACACCACTAACAAAATTCCATATCATTCCATATCATAGCTTAGCTTAATACTAGCTTGTTACTGATAATATTTCTATAAAAGATATTTTGCTTAGCAGTTTGTCCATTACCTTTCCGAATGACATAGAACATAGAGTGTATCTATGTTTTTTATGTAATTAAATTTTATACCTTGTAATAAATATATACTTTCTTATTGAAAACTAACTATAAAATGAAAACACTGAAAGGTTTCTACATTATTTGTTATTAAAATATTATACATATTTTATAATAAAAACACATTTTACATATATTATGAGTTTACTTTATTGAATGGATTTTCAAAATTTGCAACTATAATTTTAGGCATTAATTTTAATTATACATATAATTTATTTTATAAATGCTGAATGTAATTATTTTCAATTTTTGTTAGTTGTACTTCATTTTATTTCTAAAAGTCCATCAAATGGAATTTGGCATTTCATACTGCACTTAAGTTCAATTAGGTTCTTCGATATTAACAACATTAAATCTTAGTAATGAGTATTGAAAACTTCCTATTAATGACTGTTGTTGTGAATGGTGGAGTTCAGCAGATTTGCTGTTGGGTGCTCATTTCTGATGTGCTTTGTTTTTGTTTATTTTGTAAATTATTTATTTAATGAATTGACATGAATGTAGTTATTTCAATATTGATTGATGTACATATTGAATCTTCGCGGGCATTTAATTACTCTATTTTTCATTCTTAGTTGCGCTCAAACAAATTCTGTACGAGTGCTGGAATTTCGTTTCATTAGAAACCTGCTGCGCTAGGGACGTACCGAAATCACGTACTCCTCTGTGCTGTGGTGTAAAAATACATTATACATCAATTAATTAACTTATAGTAAACAAAATATTATATGCGGAATAAAGAAATTTATTTGTACAAAAATTTTTAAATATTTTACTATTAATTTCATTACAATTAATATATGTATTTTTGGTTATATAGAATACAAATTATGTTTTATCTTTTAACATAAAGAAAAATTTTATAAAAAAAATATTAAACATATGAAATACTTTACGGCACATATAAATTAATAAATATTTAAACAAATTTTTCAGATATTAATCAAAGCAACAAATTTGAGAAATTACTTCAAAAAATAAAAAAATATGATTGATATTAAAATAAAAATACATCATCATTAAAGTAATATTGATTTTGATTTGAATAAATATTGCATTTATAATTATTTATGTCGTATATAGATATTTTACTATCAAAATTACTATAATATTAACTTCAAACGTTGATTTTTTCATTTTAAAAATTAAATTAAAAAAAATGTATGAGTCCATTATCAGTATATATCGCGATAAAAGCACTCTAAAAAATCGTTAAACATAGAATACTCAATAACTTCAATTTATTTTAGTAGAAGCCCAACTTTTACACAAACTTTTTTATAGATTATGTGCGCTTTCATTTAACAGCAAAGATCATATTCATTTATTTTATTATTTTAAATAATATCAGAGTGATTCAAAATTTGGAATATCAAACTCTATTGTTAAACAATAGTGTACTCCATTACACACAAAGTAGAATCATACAGAATCATATTGATTATTGCAAAGAAATTGTAAATACAAAATAAATTTGGAAACGAAAGAAATCTTTAATTAGTTCTTATTCTAACAGAGTACTTGAGTAAGTTAGGTTATGTTACAATAGCAATGGTAAAGGTTCAGTTTTAAAACCATATATTATCTTTCATAGTACTAATAATGCTCTTTCAATAGAGGTCTAGCAGTTAACTAATATTCTTTAAAAAGATTGGTTCACTATAATATTTAATCTTCGTTTGATTTCGTTTTGGAAATGAAAAAGTACTTTATTCATCCTGCTTCAAACCTAAACAAAAATCATAACAAAAATTCAATCTTTCAGCGTGATTCGTTAACTGATAATGACCTCGACAGAAAACCTACTATAACTATTATATTATATTCATGGAGCATCTCAATGTAATTGCTAAATTTTTTCTTATATAAAACGGATAAATTAACATACAGATTTATGCATATATTTCAAACTTTTCAATTGCTATTAAAATACTGAATATACAAATAGCTTTGTGTGATAACTGTTATTTATTTCTTTTATTCAGTGGTATGCTTAGATATTTCTGTTGTACCCATTGAGTTTTTGAGGTATGCCGTCTAGTTTGTTCATCTGGTTTGCAATTATGAGTTACGCTTTCTTTACGACTGGTAATGCAGAGAAGAGAAATATTGAACTGTGTCGACATCTCATTCAAAGATGCGTACCACTCTAAAATTGTCGAGGATATAATTTTTAATTAAACTTAAGGAATTTAAATAGCTTGATTATTTAATAGTATATTTATAAATAATTCTGTGTAACTTGTTTGTATTGTTTGTAT